AGTCCCATTCTTCTCTCTCTCCAAACCCCACCCTCTCAGAGAATCTTCAAGAAAGAAAAGGGGGCAAAAAGCCCAGTTCTGCGTTCCTGGCGCTAAGGCAGCTCCTCCCCTGGAGTTGCCAGCTGCCCAAGTTCCCGCCCAAAGTGCTCAGCTCTTGACCATACTAGGGCACAAACCCAGCTGTGGCAGACACATTATCACCCCTCGCATACAGGCTATATAAGCTCCCAGCTTCACTTTGAGCACGTGGCCTCTCTAGCCTCAATCTCTGGGACTGGAGAACTCAACCGGGAGTTGCTTCGTTCAAATAAAAGTGTTCTTTTACTTTTCCAGTTTGGCTTCATCTGGCTTACTGCGTGGGCAGAGAAACCTATTATGGTGATGCAGGAGCTGAAACTGAATGGAGGGAGCACTGAACACACTGTTTTATAACCTATGCACGCATCGTCCTTTACCTGTGGTTTCACCTGCAAAAGTTCAGTATCTGCCAATGGCAATCTGAAAATATAAAATGGAATATTCTAGAAATAAACAGTTCATTGTTTTAGTTTTCACACCAGAGTACAGAGATGAAATCTTGTACCATTCTGCCTAGAACAGTAATTGTCCTTTTGTCCAGTGTGTCCACATTGCAAATGTCACATGCTGTCTTGATTATCAGCTTGTCTTATCAGTTTCAAGAAACACTTGTTTATGGAGTAATGGCCCTCAGGGTAAGATTCTCTCTGCAGCAGTCAACAGTCAACAGACTCGTAATGGGTACAGGTAGTGAGAAGTGTCTACTGAGTGACTGTGTGGAGGCACACGGGTGATGCCCTAAATGGGACATGTGTAACAACCCCTCTAGCAAGGTTCAAGAACATACTGGAAGTAGGGCAGAAAGTATGTAAGAGGATGGAGCAGGACTCTGTGGAATGCTGTCCTCTGGACATGACATGGCCATTGTGAGCATGAACTCACTGTAGCCGATTACCTGAACAACTCAAGTCACAAAGACCAGTCATCATTCTAGGAGGCAGCACTTATTAGACCCAATGGGTTATTAAAAAATGGGGGTGCAAAATGGGGAGGGGGATGTGTTGGAAGTGCCTTGGGGGGGTGGAAGGGAGAAGTTTGGGGTGCATATGATCAAGGTGTCTTGCTTACATGTATGGAATTGCCAAAGAACAAATAAAAGATATTCTGTTTTTTAAAAAAATAGTGATGCTAGTAATTTGGAAATGCCAAGGAAAAGTCATAAAATGTTTCCTACAAATGAAAAATCAAGATGTTGAGAGGGAATATTAACATAATTTATAATCACTCTTTTTATTATTTATTGTTAATCACTTGCTGCTGTGCCTAATTTGTAAATTAAATTTTATCATAAATATGTATGGGGAAAAAAAATCAGTGATCACTGGGTTTGGTATTATCTGAGGTTTCGGGTTTCAGGTATCTGCTGGGTCTTGTAATTAAGAAAATAATCAGGGCTGGAGAGGTGGCTCAGAGGTTAAGAGCACTGGCTGCTCTTCCAGAGGTCCTGAGTTCAATTCCCAGCAACCACATGGTGGCTCACAACCATCTGTAATGAGATCTGGTGCCCTCTTCTGGCATGCAGGCAGAATACAGTATACATAATAAATAAACAATTTTTTTAAAAAAGAAAAGAATCAGTGTCTGCCAAAACTGGGCATAGGGAAACTCAATAATCCAGAAATCTAAGGAAACATAAATATGGAAACCAAATTCATATACATGAATATTCATAACTTCACTATGTGTCATTGCCAAACACTAGAAATAAGCTGTATGCCCATCATGGTGGAATGCACAGCTAAATTGTGGTACACTTATTCAAAATACAGTCATGTGCCAAGGAAGGACACATCAGCCAATGATGAATCGCATATACGTTGATGTTCCCATAAAATTATACTGCCTAATAATATTATAGCCATATTAGTTTGTACAAAGACTGTGAAATTACATAAAAGTGTTTACCAAAATCTATTTCCCCTCCACCTAAAAAGTTTAAGACAATTTTATTATGTAGTCTTGGCTGGCCTAGAGCACATTCTGTAGACCATTCTGGCCTTAAACTCACAGACATCCACCTGCCTCTGCCTCCTAAGTATTCTGCTTGCAGATAGGTCTGAGAAGCACCTGCATGCCTAGTACTCACAAAGGCCAGAACAAGGGGTCAGCTCTCCTGGGACTAGAGTTACAGACAGTTGGGAGCCACCATGTGGGTGCCGAGAATCGAACCCAGATCCTCTTAGAAGAGCAGCCAGTGCTCTTAACCACTGTGCCATCTCTCCAGCCCCAGTACATGTATTTTTATTCTGAGCATGGTTTACTAGTTACCAGTTACTAGTCATTTTTAATACTCTTGTTTGTGGTCTTGCTTTAGGAAGGGAGTATAATGTCTGTGTCTAATTGCTATGTAGGGCAGTCTCCAGTTATTTCTGGTGAAACTTTATTTGGTCAACAAGAGACATGTCAAGTTTAGGCAAAGAGAAGCTCTTATCCTTTCTCATATCCCCTGACACTTCCTATCTTTGCATCCCACCTTGGTACTGATGAGGAAGGAACCAGAAAGAGGCTTCTGAGTGTGAAAAACTGTTCTTTCCGATCCAGTTACATGAAGGATGGATTTTATGATGTATTAAAAACTTGTATATTTGATAATTGTTTTTAAGATTTCTCTTTAATTGTGTGTAGGTATGTGTGTCTATGTATGGGTTTGCACAAGGGAGTGCATGTTGCCTACAGAAGCCAGAAGAGGGTGTCAGGTTCCTGAAGCTGAAGTTCCAGGCAGTCGTGAGCCATCAGACATGAGTGCTGGGCATGGAACTGGGGGCTTCTGCAAGAGCAGTGTAATATGTACCATCTCTCCAGCTCCCCATTTCTCTGTTTCTATGGAAACACATTGTCTTTCAAAGAAATAACTAGAGAGAGAACATGAACATATTTTCCTTCTTTTTTTTTTTTT